CACACACATTCAACTGAACCAATTGAAAAACCATTGACACACACACAAAGCCAAGTGCGTGAGAACAGAATTTTTTACGCTCTGCCCGTGCCTGTTATAGACCAATACTGAAATTTTTTGGTAGGAAAAATTGCTACCCAATTTGAATTTAAAATATTAATTTACATTAAATTCGATGGAAAACTCATTTTTGCAGCAAAAAAAGCAACCCTGCAAACTATACCTGATTATCAAAAAGATTCCAATATAACGAAAAACATCTAAAGACCTTTGTAAAGTTCGTCGAACTTTTTATATCCCTAACCACAAAATACAAACAATCGGTTAGGACAATGGGACAAATTTATATCCCTTTGAATATTTGTACGTTGTGCCAATCGGCCAAACTTAGCGTCTTTGGTGCACCATTTACATAAAATCGGACGAAAATATATATGGGAGCTATTTCTAAATCTGTACCGATTTCAATAAAACTTGGCACACGTTAAGCTATACTAACTTCAGTACGTTGTGCAAAATTTCGTGCCAATCGGCCTAAATTTGATTCCTGTGTGCACTATTTACTGAAAATCGGACGAAAATATATATGGGAGCCATATCTAAATCTGAACCGATTTTCACGAAACTTAACACATAACATTCTAAACTCAATTCAGGACGCTATGCCCAATTTCGTGCAAATTGGCCTAAATTTGATTCTTTGGTGAACTATTTACTAAAAATCTAAATCTGAACCGATTTTCACGAAACTTAACACACATCATTCTAAACTCAATTCAGGACGCTATGCCAAATTTCGTGCAAATCGAAAGAAATGTTGGGGCTTTCGTACACTATTTACAAAAAATCGGACAAAAAAATATGTAGGAGCTATATCTAGATCTGAACCGATTTTAATGTTGTGCGAAATTTCGTGCCAATCGGCCTAAATTTGATTCTTTGGTGCACTATTTACTGAAAATCGGACGAAAATATATATATGGGAGCTGTATATAAATCTGAACCGATTTTCACGAAACTTAACACACATCATTCTAGAATCAATTCAGGACGCTATGCGCAGTTTCGTGCAAATTGGCCTAAATTTGATTCTTTGGTGCACTATTTACTGAAAATCGGACGAATATATAGGTGGAAGCTATGTCTAAATCTGAACCGATTTTCACGAAGCATAACACACATCATTCTAAACTCAATTCAGGACGCTATGCCAAATTTCGTGCAAATCGAAATAAATGTAGGGGCTTTCGTACACTATTTACAAAAAATCGGACAAAAATGTAAGTAGGAGCTATATCTAAATCTGAACCGATTTTAATAAAACTTGGCACAAGTTTAGCTATACTAACTTCAGTATGTTGTGCGAAATTTCGTGCCAATCGGCCTAAATTTGATTCATTGGTGCACTATTTACTGAAAATCGGACGAAAATATATATGAGAGCTGTATATAAACCTGAACCGATTTTCACGAAACTTAACACACATTATTCTAGAATCAATTCAGGACGCTATGCCCAATTTCGTGCAAATTGGCCTAAATTTGATTCTTTTGGACGAATATATAGGTGGGAGCTATATCTAAATCTGAACCGATTTTCACGAAACTTAATACATAACATTCTAGACTCAAATCAGTACTCTGTGCCAAATTCCATGTAAATCGAAAGAAATGTGCAGCATTTATAGTAAATCGGACGAAAATATATATCCGAACCTATTTTTTCCAATTTCAGTGGGGTTCGTCCTTGGGCCAAATTAGTGAGTTGTGCCAAATTTCATCCAAATCGGATCATAAATGCGACCTGTACTTTGTATATAAGAATACATGGACGAACATGCGTAAATCGACTCAAAAAGTGATTCTATGCTTCTCAAAAGGAACCTATATGCTTCTCACCCAGTCAATTCGGTTGAAAAACGTGTCAAAAAATACCGAATATTGGGGTATCATTATATGAGACCCAAAATACCAAGTACAGCCAATTGGGTTGAAAAAAACGTGTCCAATATCGGCAGAATACCGAATATTGGGGACTATCCTGCATTATTAGTACCCCGCAAATTCGGTCACCATTAATCATTTTTGGTAGTAAGATTTCACAGAACTTGCCCAAAATCGTCATAATACCAAAGAGTACCGTTTAATGGGGGCTACCAAAATATCGAATATTGGGCGTTACCGTTATATGGGGTCTACATGAAGACCTGAATCGATATATCCCATTTGTAATACCAAACCTCCTGACAATAATAGCAATGTCTGTGCAAATTTTCAGAGCTATATCTTAAATATTGCAATCTCCATCATCGTGTTTCAGCAGGCGGATCAAGAATACATATATTTTTTTTAGGGTTTTCCGATGAATATTTCGAGGTGTTGCAAATAGAATGACAAATTTAATATACACACTACCATATGGTTGTAAAGAGGGTATAAAAATGATGTATATCCGATAAGATCGGACTTTATTTTATTTAGAAACCTCTGAATAGGACCAAAACAGCAACGCAGATCGAAATTGAGGTAGTAGTCATAAGCGTCATTTCCATTATCCAGAATGTTTAGGCTTTCAGTAATGAAAGTCGTTATGTTCCTGCCTCTAAGCGAACCAAATGATTAAATATTTGAAGATTTAGAATAGTTAAGTAATTTTTAAGGTACCCACACTAATGTACATATGTATAAATTAGTAGATATATGATAATTAAGTGAAATTGATAGCATATTTTTAGGCTTTTTGAATTTCATAAGGAAGCAAATAAGGGAGCGGTTCATGCAGTATCGGCTAAGCATTGCTCATTGGGTAGAATAACTTCATGCGGAAAATTCGAGATCTGTAATTATGTATGTTTTATAGATTTAAGTGGACCCTCCATTCTTGGTTTCAAAAAATCTATTTTTTTTATTACACCCTTCACCACACTGTGGTACAGGGTATTATGTCTTTGTGCATACTTTTGTAATAGACAAAAAGAAACGGGATAGACCCATGGTTGCTTTTGAGAATATGCATAGAATCACTTTCTGAGTCGGACATACGATTGTTAACAAACTACAGTTCGCATTTATGATCCCAAATGAGGTGAAAAGTGGTACAGCCCACATATGTGGCCCAAGGATGAACACTGGAATTTGAAAAAAAATTGGTTAAGATTTAGATAAAGCTCCTATCTAACGTTTGTTTGATTCAAATAAAATTTTTGAGTGTATGCTTTACTGTAAATTGTAAAATTGCTTCAAATCGGTATACATATAGTTCTGCTCGACTACATAGAAATGGTATGCTCGATTGACATGGAATTTTGCATAGACTTCAGAACGACAAGTTTATGGGTTAAAATCATAACCAAAGAGGTTAATCCAATCGTTTCTCAAAATTTTACACTTTATTCTAGACCTATATAGCTATCGTAGGGACTAGGATAAATCGGAAATATGCAATTTTCAAAAAAAAAAATGATATGTTCGCCTTTTTTTCTAATTTTCGAGCGAAGACTATGTCTATGTAAAGAAAAATTTTTAATTACAGAGAATCTGAAGAATTTCTTCCATAAAGCCTATTTTTAGGAGAACAGTTACAGGTAAATGTCTTTATGGAAAAGGCCTTCTATATAAAGATGAACAGTTGCAGGAAAATTTCTTTAGTGACCCTAGAGAGGGCATGTTAAAGACTCATGGAAGATCTTCCATCCGTAGGGGATAAATGAGGGCCATCAAAGTACCTAAAATGAGGCGGCACCTTTATATGGGGGTTATGTCAAAACTTGGACATATACTAAGTATTTTCAAGAAAGGAATTTTTACCCAACAACAGGAATCTGGAATGCCAAATTAGAGCCACTTGAAAAAAGAGCCTAGTATCATAAAAATACGTAAACTCGTGCGGGATCTTTATAGAATGGCTATTTAAAGACTATTGAACAAAGGCAAGATCATACCCAAAATAAGGAATGTTAATTTAGAATTCCTAAAGATCGACAAACCAAGAAGTTAATTTTTAGTTAGGAAAATATTAAAATCTCCCAAGTTGCTTAAAATACATTGAAGTAATTTCTCACTATTTGAATGAGGTTAAGACAATCAAAACTCTGTAAGAATACTTAAAATTCTGCGGGACCTTAAAAAAGTTGCCATATAAAGACATAGGCAAGGTCATACCCAAATTATGGAATGTTAATTTAGAATTCCTTACCGATTTTCAAACCATGATTAATTTTATTTTATAAAGATTGAAATCTTCCAAGTTACTTAAAATATATTGAAGTAATTTCTCACTATTTGAATGAGGTTGGGGCAATAAAAATACAGAAAATGGGCGGGCTTTATATAAGGGTTATGACAAAAAGTGGTCCCATATTGAATAGTTTTTAAAGCAAAACTCTTTCAACTTGTGAAGGACCTTCTTTGGATTAAGGTAATTAAGAGTGCACGGTTAATTACCTCGCTAGGGTAATTATCCGTGGACCCCGGTTAATTACCCAGCAAGGGTAAATATCGGTGGACATTGGTGCTTTGTTTTTTCTTTCTTTTTTGCTTGAGATATTAACTGGAGCTTTAGTTTGATAGACAAAGATGTATTTCTGGGAGACATTTTACGAAAACTTTCAAAACAATAGATTTTATGTGCACATGTGTGGCAAGTCCACTAGCAAATGTATGTTTTGGAAACTTCCATTTCTGTTATGAACACATATGCGTTCAAAAAAAAAAAACACCTCCGCAATTGTTTACAATGGAAAAATTAGAAATGCGTGCCTTCATTGTAAAAAATTGCGGATGCGTCTTTTTTGAACACCTGTTTCTATATGAAGGAGTTGCCAGATCGAAACAAAATTTAACATATGTTCATAACAGAGATGGAAGTTTCCAAAACACTTAACTTTTTTCTGGTTTCACATTTTTTTCTTCCGCTTAATATATTTGGCTATGTTCTGCAAGATTTTTTTCATAAAGTTTGAGTATTAGTATCGAGTGTCATAAATATAAATTCTTCGCTTCTAATCAACTTCCAATTTACGAAAAGACCCCTCAACACCAAAAATGGCATCAAAATTTATAGGATTTCCTGGCCTTAGCTTTTCGTCGGTACCATATTCTTTTTGTTCGGCCAAATATTCACGATATCTCATTAGCATATCTTCACCAATTGCGGCTATCTCTTCAATGCTGCCATTTTCACCGCCATACTCTTTGGGGAAATATTTTAGAGGGACTTGTTGGTAAACGGATTCCATGCTGGTGTGGACCATTATCTAAAAACATATTTAAATATATTTATTGAGGATTCTATAACTTATTATCCCTTACCTACCCTTTCCTTAACTTTCCCGGGCAATAAAGGTTTCATCATTCCAAAAATGGTTTCAAAAGCCGTACCAGTATTGAATAAATGTTGAGCGCGTGTTCGTATGGGCAATGCCTCTTCGGTATAATAAATAAGATGTTTCATTTTAGCCGGTTGAAATTGTAGAGCATGTTTGGTGGAAAATCCAGCAAAGTCTATTAAATGGACATAACCTCCAACGACAACATGATCATCTTCCAGGATGATTAAATCTTTGAATAGCAAATCTAGTTTCATAAGTTCATATAGCGATGCTAAATCGGGATTATAATGTCCAGGACGCATTAGAACCAGACGTGGTCCACCCTCACCCAAGGGTATAGGTAAATGGGCACCAAGACTGGAAATAATTTAGAATGCATATGATTATTAGAGGGTTTAATAAAGAGGAGTCGTTTATTTTGAAAGTGGCTTAAAGCCATTTTTTACGCCGCTACATCCTTGCATTCGGGAGATACAGTACCTTCTTTCCGAAAAATAAAAGTCCAATAACAACAAAAACAAATGCAATATCGACCAAAAAATCACTTTTAATTATTCTGTAGGTTCTTTTTTACAAGACTCAACATCAATTTAGAGAGTACGATTCGTACATTTTGAATAAAAAGCGATTTAAATATTTTGGACTGTATACACAATTTGGTACTGTACATATTTTTGCACTCATCTATGTATTGAAAAGCGTACAACTTGACCAAAAATTTTAATTTTTTTTAGTTTTTTCTTTTGATATGTGTCGCCCATAGTCAGCTCTTAATATATATAATCCAAAAAATATATATTTACTTGCCTCGTATTAAATATAAGCTCTAGAACATTTTGTTGGCTGTGGGCAACATTGGGCCATAAAGGGTTAAATATCTTAATATAAACAAAAGTGGAGTTCGTATTTTTTGAGTTGTTCTACTTACCACATTCTCAATATAGCTCTTGCTCTCTGTTCATCAACTAGGGATTCAAAAAGTTCCGGAAAATTAGTACGTATTGTATAGTAACTATCCAATTTCTTTTTAGCCTTTTCCAAACTATATTTCGAACCGCGTAAGAATGCAATTAAAAATTGATCATCCATACGTGATCGGATATGAGGTTGTTTCAATATCCATTCTCTAAACATTTGCAGATCTTCAGCAATTCTATTGGGATTCTCATTTAATTCTTCGATGGCCTTTTGTTGCAAGGCTGATGAAAGTGGTCGCAAATTCAATGTCATGGTTATAACTAATCGAACTGCAAATTGACTATCCTATACGACAAGTACTGACAATATTATGGTTTGGTATATAAACATTTTGTATTGTTCTAAATTGTTGTTAAATACAAAAATTGTCGAGCAGATTAGATTAGTTTATCAAAGGTCGCCACATAAATACTATACTGCAAGGTTGTTAGAAAATAAACACATGCAATTTTTTTGTGTTTTACCCAATTTTTGGGGACCCGACCTTTGATATCAGTGTATCACTGATTTGAAAAAAAAATAATTATATAGAGGTTAGTATTCAGTACTTTATGGGGTATTTTTTCAGGAGCGAGTGCTCTGGTCTCGAAGCAATCTAAATACATTTAAATTATCTATACTTTAAAACCGCTGTTCGTAGACAATATTCAGTTGGACCATCTAGATGTAGATTTTCAAGCAATGAATCCGGAAACATATTCCGAAATATATACAAAAGGACATGTGGCAGATTTTCATTTATTGAAGTAATTTCTCGTTATCGGTTTATTCGGGTTAGAGTCAAAAAGTCCTTTTTTAGATCCGATTAGAATACTGGTGATATTGTCTTAACATTTTACTCTCAATATTCGTATTGACTGGGCATGTGCAGTCACTAATGTTTCTGCAGCACTCTGAGACCGCCCATTGTGATCATCCATGAAAGTTATGGAGAGATCTGTAGGGGAGAAAAGGGGGAAAGAAAGGATAAGAAGCTAACAAGAAGTATTAGGAGAAAGGTGGGAATAGTTTCGATGGCTATAGAAATTGGATAGTAAACATATTACGTGCTAAGGTTGCACTTTCCCAACCACTTTAGGTTTTAAATTATGCTGTAGATTAAAGCAGGTTCCATAGTTGAAAAGAAGGTTAGAAACGGTCTGTAGGCCAGAACTGGACAGCGACACAGTTCTGGCCTACAGACGGCCAGAACTGTATCCTCGTCAGCACAGAGTCTGCAGTAATCAGTAACATCATGGTCCCATTTGCTGGTAAATACCCTGATATTGCAATTACCACTAAAGACTCCTGTCATTACTCAAATTTCAGGTTTGCTCAGGTTCAACAGTGAGTTTGTTCTCTTGGTTAACAAATTTGGCCAGATAGATCTTGACCCATTGCACCTAGGTTCGTTGTGCCAAAATTTATTGGCACTTTCGCCAAAGAACGCCTCAAAGTTCCGAAAAAGATGACAGGTTTGATTGAGCAATCGATTGCTAGATCTGTAGGTTGAGATCCTCGTGAATTTACTTAGAGATTTACATTTATTGAAGTAATTTCTCGTTACGTTTTTATTATGTATCGATTCGCAATGGTCTTAGTAGGTCTGATAACAATACTGGCGGCATCCTATTAAGTATGGCGCTGATATTCAGAAGGTCGTGTTAATTTACCTAGAGATTTGCATTTATTGAAGTAATTTCTCGGTCGTGTGAAGTAGGTCGTGTGAAGTATGTATTGAAGTAATTTCTCGTCATGTTTTTATTCGTAATCGATTTTTAATCGATTCCGAAGGTCTTATAACAATACTTTGAAATTGCACTGATATTTATTCTCACTTTTTTACCTGTATTCCGGTTCACAAATCATAATATATCTTTTATGGATACTAACCAGATTTTAATATTGAATTGTTGCGACAATTTATAAACCTTTTTTATATTTTATTTTCACACTTCATATTATTCTTAATCTTTAAGAAAATTTTTTTTCTAATCTACATTAAGTTTGCGGAAAGAACCCTCCATACCAAACAGATTATCAAAATCAATAGGTTTACCCGGTCTCAGGTGTTCATCGGTACCATATTTGGCATCCTCTTTAAAATATTCCTTGTATGCCTGGAATTTCTGTTCCCATTCGGCAATAATTTCGGGAATTGAACCATTTTCACCGCCATATTCTTTGGGCAAATATTTCTGAGGTATTTTTTCATAAAATTTATCCAAATTTGAACCATAGACGACCATCTGAAAAGTTATACCAAAAAAAGCAATACAAATATATATAATAAAACGTAAATATCTCAATTTCTGGTACACACCCTCTTAAGCTGCTTTTCCGACAACATAGGTTTGACCACATTAAATAGCGATTCAAATATCGAGGGTACATTAATAAAATTCGAGGATTTTGGTCGCAAAGGTATTGCTTCTTCCGAATAGACTGTCATTTTTTTCATTAAACTTGGTGTCATTTGGAAAAAATGTTGTTTATTCCAGTCTTTCAAATCGGCAATGTGAACGAAGCCGTTAACAATGGCATAATCATCTTCCCACATTAGGATTTCATTCCAGGCCTGGAAGACACGCATTATATCGGCAAAGTTGTATTTTTCCGGATCATAACAGCCATTGCGTACAAGCATTATGCGGGGGCCATCTTCATTAAGTGGTGTGGGTAAGGCAATGCCAATTCTGTAAAAAAATAATATAAATAAATTTCAAAATTTAGAATTTGAAAGTATCTCACCCCAATTTAATGATTTCTTGTATCTTTGGTTCATCGACATCCCGCAATGAAAACAATTCCGGAAATTTGGAACGTAACATATAATATTTGTCGATTTTGGATTTGGCCTTTTCCAAACTGTATTTACAGCCACGCAGAAACGCCACTAGAAATTGATCATCGGTACGTGCCCTCAAATGGGGTTGTTGCTGAATCCATGTCTTTAGAGCATCTATATCATCCTGCACTCGAGCAGGATCTTCGTGAAGTTCTTCAATTGCAACTTTTTGCAAACCGGGCGGTAATGGTCGCACCATTGTATAGGTCTTTTAACAAGTCGAATTTAGTTGATACTAAATTATGAAGAACCTAAACATAGTAAAGTGAACCCACAGCTTGCTATCAAATAATGGATATCAATTGATAGTGTATACGATTCGGTTGTTTCGTGGACTATAAAAACAAAAAAACTTTAAAGACATTTTATTGATAAGATTTGGTGAATTAAACAGAAAATAAACTAATGTTTGTTGCACGTTTTTATTGTAGTTGGTATGGGGAAAAGGTGGTGTATTTGGTTTAAGGGGATATATGATACATACCAAAGTGACCTTCAGAAGATACACCAATCCAAAAATGTGAATGTTTTGTAATAAAAATCTAATGTACATTTTGAGGACAATAGATAATCGGATGCATTGGGTATGGATAACGTCGCTTTTGACATGCATTTTAAAATATTGATTGAAGTAATTTCTCGCCACTGGTTTTGCTTTTACAGAATTTCTTATACTCCACACTTAGTAGAAAGTCAAAGAATGAAAAATATCTGTACTGAACATTTTGAGAACATCAATAGGTAATAGGATGCATTATGTATGGATACAGTTGCTTTTGTAATGAATATTAGAATATTTATTGAAGTAATTTTTCGCCACCGTTTTGGATTTTTTTACAGATGGATTCAAGATTGAAGAAGGTACAGGAGCTGGCGTCTACTGTGAAAGGTTAGACCTTGAGCTTACCTACAAGTTGGATAGCAACAGTAGTGTTTTCCAAGATGAAATCTTCGCGATTTGGAAGGCAGCAGAATTCATAAGAAGTCTGGATGCAGAGATCGTTGAACCGGTGGCTATATTTGTGTATAGTCAAGACGCTCTTAAAGCCATAAAATCCTGTATAACAAGTCTGATGTCATCGAGTGTTGAGCAGATTTGGAAACACTAACTCTCAACTATCGACTGTGCTGGACACAAGGTGGACGAACAGTGACAAAGGGAGGTTGACGTACGAATTTATTCGTGACGCAACGTTCGTAGTGGACCGGCCAGACTTTCGCTTCGGCTTAAGTACTGGTTTCTTACTGACGGGGCATGGCTCTCTCAATGCTTTTCTGCATAAAAGAGGCCTGTCCCAGACGGATTTATGTGGGTGCGGGATGACTGAGGACTGGAAGCATATACTGACGGAATGCTGTTATTATGATGACATTAGAGATTTAGCAAGTATGGGTATATCGAATGGAGGGGCGGTGTGGGATTTCAATAGGGCACTTGAAGACGATCGGACCTTTGGTCGTTTAAGTAGTTTTGCTCGTGAAGCAGTTAGGAGAAGAACAGTAGTTAGCGGAGGTGGTCCTCGTGCACAGCCCCCTTGTAGTTGGGTTGGTCGGTTGCACCGGGTGGTCGTGGGTACTTGCACCGGGTGGCGGTGCTGGTCTTGGTGCGGTGTTCGGCGGTTGTAGGTGGTGCACGTGCTGCCTGCTGTTGTCTGTGCATCGTGGGTGGTTCGTGGTTTCCACTTCATGTGCTTCACTCGTCCTATGGATGTAGTGTAGGCTGTCCGTGAGGGCAGTTTTGTTCATTGTTTGTGTTGTGATGTGCGATGCCGCGGTCCTTTGAGCCCTTTGTGCAGTCCGTGAGGACAGCATGTTAATTGTTTGTGATTTGTGTATTTGTCACTGCTTGTGGCCAGGTTTTTCCTGGCCACTTGCGGTTATCGTCGTTGCTTATTGTTGTTTTGGGATACCAGCCCGGACGAGCGTCAAACTGGGAGAGGCTTCGGTCTCGAGCCTGAGCGGAGCTTTTCCGTACCGCGGGTGTCAGGTGCCCCTAGATCTGTCGATCCAGCCTGACAGTTGGTGTGGCCCCCTGGGGAGCTTCGCGGGGGTAGTGGTTTCGACCCTCACCAAGGGGGAGAGTGTGCCTTCTGCATGCTCTCCAATTGGTACAGTACTTCGGTGCTGGTGCATTGGTGAGCGCTTTTCCGCCTGTGGCTCAGCCACTGTGAAGTTGGCCTATTGGCAGGTACTCACATAAAAACTCTTCAAGATCCTGTGCTGGACACTAGGACACTGACTTCATGGGTAATGAAAAACCAGACGAGGATCACAATTTACAGATCTAGCAATCGCTGACACAATCAAACCACCCATCTGCCATCGGAATTTTTAGACGTTCTTTGACGAAAAAGCCAATGAATTTTGATACAACGAACCTAGGTGTAATGTAATAATCTGTCAGCCAAAATAACAAATTCACTGTTGGGCCTGAGCAAAACGGAAATTAGAGTAATGACGGGAGCTATTACTGGACAGCATTAGAGCCTTTACGATTAAATGGGACCAATAATGTTACTGATTACTGCAGACTCTGTAATGGCGAGGATACGGAGACAATCGACCATCTTCTGCGTGGCTGTCCTGGAGATTGCATAGATTGTGGTCAATTAAATTTAGTGTTAAACTGATGTTTATAAAGACGTTTTTCGGAAAGTATACCATTCGATCCGATATCGATATTTTTTACATACACAGTTTTTAGTTTTTTTTTTTTACATACACAGTTGTAGGGTATTTCTATACCCACCTAAACACCTTCTGACACAGCAAATTTGTTCTTGCAAATCTTATCTCAAAATTTTAGTATTTGAAATTTGTGAAATATAATCGCACAATACCTTATCATCAATTGATATCCAACTTTATGTTTGATTGGCTACTAACTTTAGCGTCCATTAACTGTGGACGACTGTAGGTATACTTATTTAAAACATGTACGAATAGTCTTGCCACTCAAGAGCCAGGGGTCACAACAAAATTATATTAAAAACAAAAGAGAACGAATCATGGTGCGACCATTGACACCAGTTTTGCAAAAAATTGCCATTGATGAACTGCATGAAGATCCCGAGCGTGTTGCAGCAGATATTGAAGCTTTGAAGACATGGATTAGTCAACAGCCTCATTTAAGGGCACGTACCGATGATCAATTCCTTTTGGCATTTTTGCGTGGCTGCAAATTTAGTTTGGAAAAGGCCAAATCGAAAATTGATCGTTATTATATGCTGAGATCGAAGTTTCCCGAACTGTTTTCTTTGCGGGATGTCAAGAATCCACACATTGAGGAAATAATTAAATTGGGGTAAGATTTATTAGATTTTATTGAAGTAATTTCTCGTTAATTGTTTTAATTTTTTTATATTTACAGCATTGGCTTGGTACTGCCCACCCCATTAAATGAAACAGGACCAAGAATTTTATTGATACGCAATGGCTGCTATGACCCCTCGAAATATAACTTTGCCGATATTATGCGTGTTGCCCAGGCCTGTAATGAAATTCTAATGTGGGAAGATGATTATGCCATTGTTAATGGTTTTGTACACATTATGGATCTGAAGGGTTGGACCAAGGAGCATTTCTTTCAGGTTACACCAAGTTTAATGAAGAAAATGACTGTATATTCAGAGGAGGCTATGCCCTTGAGACCAAAGGCCTCACATGCCATTAATGCTCCATCGATATTTGAATCTGTTTTCAATATGCTAAAGCCAATGATGTCCAAGAAACAAGTGGATAGGGTAAGTTTGATTAATGGATGAATTAAGTTATAGGGATTTTATAATTTGATTCTTAATTTTTTCAGATGGTCATCTATGGTTCCAATATTGAAAAAATGTACGAAAAAATCCCCTTGAAATATTTACCCAAAGAATATGGTGGTGAAAATGGTTCTATACCGGAAATAATCGATACATGGCATAAGAAATTCTTGGAATATAGTGATTACTTTGCTGAGGATGCTAAATATGGTACCGATGAACAATTAAGACCCGGTAAACCTGTAGATTTTGATAATTTGTTTGGAATGGAGGGGTCATTTCGTAAATTGAATGTGGATTAAAATGAGTCCGCATAATTTAATATATCTTCATAGATAAGGGTAAAAAAAAATTATATAAAACGATGGCTTGAATAGTACTAATATTTGGAATATAGTAAACAATGGGTCTGTCCCCGTATTGCAAGAATATACTAATTTGTACTATTTTTTCCGATATCATAAAGGAAATAATGTTATCGTAGTAAAAAATTTTACATTCTTGCAGGTTCTGGAACAGACCAAATTTGGGAATATAGTAAAAAAACTTATTAGATGTGTTAATGTATCCAGGCAATATCGTAAATTAAATTAATGATATGATTGCGTTCTAAGAAATAATTTGTTATTTCTTTTTTTGGCGGAAAATAATACAAATATTATTATAATGTATGTCTGTTTGTATATGGCATAATCTTATCAATATTTTATAATATGTGTATAAACACATGTGTGCGTTTGTGCACGTTCTATAAAAAAACCTGTCAAAGTATAGCCCTGTTATCAAATTGTAATATTTTTAAAATCAGCAATTTTGTGGGGGTGGTACTGCCCCCATCGATAAACAACATCTTTTTTGTAAATTAGAAAATATTTGGCCATAACGAGGTGAGTGAACAGATGTGCATGCAAAACATTTGATATATACAAATTTGCCTATGCTGAAATCGGCTGAAAGAATACGAAGAGATAATCGATGTAGACGTAATGGAATACTATGTTCCATAAGGGTTTCCCTTGAAAAGAAAATGGAAGAAGGAATAAAAAGGTTACCGTACCCTGATCTGCCCAGGAGTGCAGATCCAACAGGATTAGTTTGAGAAGTACCGATGCGGGTGCAAATATTTATATAATATTAATATTTAAAAAAATATCATTGCAAAAAAAAAAAACAATAACGAAATTTCAAAAGTCGGACGGGTCGACTATATGATACCCTTCACCGTTTTGGATACATGCAAGAGATGCTAATATATACAATATCCTGTCGATAGAACAGACGTAGCATCTTTGGAGGACAATTGAAATGAAATCAGGCGAAACTAAATGTGTGATGTGTGAAATCTATGAAAAACTGCATGACAATCGGATTCTTTGGTGTACCATTTGCATGAAATCGAGACAAAACAATGTATCTGGAGCTATATGTAAATCTGGACATACTTGAGCAATCAGGGCGCATACCATTTGGTATGCTGCAGTACAGTGCGCTGTCCACAATTTTATCTCGTGTATATGGAACAGACATAGGCTCCTCGGTGCACCATTTACATAAGATCTAACAAAAATATATATGGGAGATATATCTAAATCTAAACCGATTTTCGCAACATTAATACACATCACTCTAAACTCAACTCTGCCAAATTTCGTGCGAATCGAATAAACGTAGGTCTTCGGTGCACCATTTACATAAAATCGGACGAAAATATATATGGGAACTATATCTAAATCTGATCCGATTTCAACAACACTTCATATACGTCTACTATCTGAACCTAACTCAATAAACTGGGCAAGATTTTGTCTCAGTCGGACAAATATTGGGAGTTTGGTTCACCATTAACATAGAATCGGACGAAACTATATATGCGAATTATCTAAATCTTAACCGTTTTCAAAAAAAAAAATGAACCGATTTCCACAAAACTTCGGATACATCAATACGGACCTATTTCAGTACGCTGCGCAAATTTTTGTTTGAATCGGACAAATACTGGGTGTTTAGTGCATAATTTACAAAAAATCGGGCAAAGATATATATGGGAGCTTTATCTAAATCTCAAGCGATTTCCACAAAACTTCAAATACATCAAACCGGACATAATTCAGTATGATATGTACAATTTTGTATCGATTGTGCATTGAAAGTTTGGTGCACAATTTACCAAACATCGGACGAAACTATATATGGCAGCTATATATAAATCTGGACCAATTAAAAAAAATACTTCACGGACATTAAACTGTGCAAAATTTTGTTTGAATCGAACAAATATTGTGAGTTTGGTGAACCATTTACCAAAAATCGGACGATAAACGTCGTGTACATCAATATGGACCTAATTCAGTACGCTGTACAAAGTTTTGTACGAATCGGACAAATATTGGGAGTTTGGTGCACCATTTACCTTAAATCGGACGAAACTATATATTGGAGCTATATGTAAATCAGAACCGATTTTCTCTAATTTAAATAGGGTTCGTCCTTGGACCACATAAGTTACCTGTGCAAAATTTCATCCAAATCGGACGATAAATGCGACCTGTACCTGTTCACAAAAATACATGGACGGACGGACAGACGGACATGCATAAATCGACTCAGAAAGAGATTCTATTCATATTCTCAAAAGGAACCATTGGTCTATCTCCATTCGAATAAATAAATAAAAATAAAATAATACCCTGTACCGCAGTGTGGTGAAGGTTATAAAAATAGAAACCAACCATATATTTACCATACAATTTGCTCTTCGAATATTGTTGGCTCAATCATGTTTTTTCTTTGCGTGTATTTTTGTATAAATCTGTATGAAATTTTTAAAAATTAGCATATTGGATTGAATACTTTGTAAATTTTTCATTTTTAATTGAGTGTACGAATGGGGATTTTGCATACTATATGTCCCGCTTAATTTTGAATATTTTTCTCCATTATAGAGCCCCGATCTTTTTAACAAATTTTGAATGTCCACGTTATGGTGGAGGCAACATAGAGTTTTTACTGGTTTACTTTCAGAAATTGAGTGACTCTTAACCTTTAGCATGAACCTTGTCTTACCTCAAAATTTATTTTCAATATTTATACTCATAATGCCCAAATTTATGTTATCCACTAATCAAAAATAAAACCACGCTATTATACGTGTGTATTTATTACAAATAGTCCAATATGGCAACACTTGGCAAATTCATGTGCTCTCCCAAAATAAAAAGCTTTTGTTCAATTCTGCAGCAGCTGACACGACACTGATGCCAATACAGAACGACATAGTGTTGATACTATGGCATTGGTCATGTTTTTGTACTACGTCGTTAAGTAACTGCTTATCATTATATATATATAATCCGGATATATATAATCCGGATCTTTTTATTTAACTTTTTGGTCTGAAAACTTGTAAAAATACTAAAATATCTTCCATGGCGTAATATCCCCATTTCCTTCATTTCTGCTAATAAATGTACATTTTTTTGTACCCACTATCCCCATGTCCCATCACTGGCACTATAAAATGAAAAGCTTTTTTCGCATGCTATTATCATCAATCGTTCGATTTGTTTTGTTGTGTGCGAATAGTTGTTTTCAACAACGACGTTTCGCGATTTTGTTTTACCGGCCGGTCAGTCATTCGTCTGTTGCGTGTGCACTGCTTTGTTCTACGAAGAGGTTTCGCGGATTATTTGAATAGAGAAAATGCTGCGCCTATTAAAAACAACAAATTTACTAAAAAATTCGGGAAGAATTTTATCGGCAAATTTGCCTAGCTTGGGTGCTAAGGCAAATTATGCTGCTATGCCAGAGCCGAATACAAATCCGGATATTCTTTATACTGGGGTATGTATTGAAAAATAATAAATAAAAACCAGATGGAATATTTTAATATAAAAAAGTGAATTTTTCTTGTTGTTGTTGTAGTGTCGTAAGTTCAGTAAAAAAAAGAAAAGCAAAAACAGATAACAGCTGCTTTCGAGAGGTTGATAGCCGATAGGGATGAGCAAAAATTGCAAAAGTACGAAATAGAACAATTTTTGGTCAAACAGGTAACTGTTTGTGAAATTCGAAGGTGGATAGATCGGACATTTTTATTATGTGTAATATAGAAAACATAACTGTATGTTTTTAACTGTTTTAGTACAGGAATTGGCTTAACTCTAGTTTAGTAAAAACGATCAGATTTTTCTGAAATTTTTTCCAGAGGTAGGTATTTTTACCCTAATTATGGGGATATCTTTTTTTCTTGGGGGACGTACCCGGTTACCCGGTTATTTGACCCGGAAGTTCGGGTACGGGTACCCGGTTATATCCGGTTCTACGGATCCGGTTAATATAATATGGGTATCATTTTAAAGGTTATAAAAATACCTTTCCATTGAGTGGTAATATGACAGAATTTTCTTGTTTTTGTAGGGTTCTAAGGCCCATATATTTTGATCCACAACAGATACAGCCATATATAGCACCATTTTGGAAAGGGCAAATTGTGGTCCATTCGATTATGGGTTAGAGATGTACTATAATGGACCCAAGTTCGACTTTTAGGGAGTTTTTCAAAAAAATCGGGGTCCAAAACCCAGTTTTTTGACTATATCTCCAAAATGGTTGAGATAACCCTATCATATTACCACTCAATGGAAAGGTATTTTTATAACCTTTAAAATGATATTATATTAACCGGATCCGTAAAACCGGATATAACCGGGTACCCGTACCCGAACTTCCGGGTCAAATAACCGGGTACGTCCCCCAAGAAAAAAAGATATCCCCATAATTAGGGTAAAAATACCTACCTCTGGAAAAAATTTCAAAAAAATTTGATCGTTTTTACTAAACTAGAGTTGTTCCCAGGAATTCCGACCATTTTCTTTGTGTATGCCTTTAATAGGTTAAGTGGAGCTCAAGGTCCAGCAGCGATTTTAAGAAAAGTTGTTCATTATTAGTAAATCTGGAGACGTGATTAAAACCATATAATTTTTTTCTTACCTAAGTTCCGTTGGAACCTATGCATGTAAATTTGAAGTGGATGAGTTCCCGATTATGAAAACTTTAAAAGTTCGTAAACTTTGTATGTCCTCAATGTCGCCGGAGATCATTGCCTTCCTGCAAATGGCAATATATGCTCGAGTCAAAGGATTGTCGAAAATACCCATTCTGATGCACAGCCTAATTGACATCCAAGCTGTAGCTTCTAAAACCTAGAGAAATTTCCCAAGCAATGAATTCATCAGCATTATGAATGCAAACATTGAACCTTGTGAACAAGTGAAGAATACCGAACGTAATGGGTAAAGAGAGTATCAAAATTTAGCTTTACGCCTAGGGGATTAAAAAATTACAAAATGGCGCTGTGTTAAGTTTTCGAAGGACATAACAGCTTGCGGGCCTACTTATACAAAATTGTATGCGAGGGAAACAACTGGTGTAGAGCGTGTGGAGAAGGCAACGAAACGTTAGAACATTTCCTGAGCCACTTCCCAGCCTTCTTAAGTTTTCGAATCCAATTCTTCGAAATGACACCTTTCCTAAAATAAGGGGATGTGAATCGAAAAAAACTCAAGGACTTCAGTAACGAAACAGAATTCCTGGATGTTTAGGATAATCAAATACCAAGATGACTTCTTCCTTTTCTAGAACACACAACAGTCCACATTGATCCATCCATATTGATGTTTCTAATTAAGATAATATTTAACTCGCCTCCATATAAGGGTCGGCCCTTTTAGATGTTGTAATGGTTATTTCCGATTGGGTAGGAAACTTTTATTCAAAAAATGGTAAATATAGGTCCAACTTTTGGTATAAACCTTTTTATTTTCTATTTATCAATTTCCAAAATGTTCCATTAATTTCCAAAATGTTCCATTTTTTGTGTGCATCTGTACCAATTAAAGTACAATTGTAATAAAAATTACCAAACCTATTCATCTGGAGGGATTGTATAATTGGCGTGTGTGTGGAACAAAATTAATAATAGGACAGGAATTCAAGTTGAATCCCAATCATGATTGGGAATTATTTTATGTGAATATATGGGTGTGTGTGTTTTTGTTTGATCCCCCTGCTACATATTCCCGAATGGTAGCAGCGCAACTGTTGTTTATATTTCGTTCCTTAACCTTGAATAAAGCTATCTTTTATGTATCTTTATGTTTGTCATGACGTATTGTTAAATACATTGTTGTCTTCTGCTGTGTTGTTGTTTTTGTTAAACAATTCCCAATTTTCTATGCAAATAATTGAGAACAATTCAAAGTAAATACGTTTTGAATACAAATCTATAACATATGCCAAAGAAAAACGGGAAACTTGTTGTTTTTAGTTGGGAGAAAATATTTTCATAATTCTAGGAAGGCTAGATTAATGTTTTATTATTGAAAATTTAATTTAGCTGGACTGAATTATTTTTTAAAGGAAAACCAATTCTATTGGACTGCATTAGAACTTATTTTAGCCACGCTGCACTACAATTTTCTTATAGAGAACCCAATTCATCCGGGCAGAATAACATGTATCCCATTGAAAATACAATTTAGCAAGGTGGAATTACAGTTTTTCAGTATTAAACCCAATTCAGCTGGGCTGAATTAAAGTTATACTATAGAAAACCCCAACTTAACTGTGCTGAATTAATTTTTTCTATAGAAATAACAATTCAGCGGGACAGAATTAAAATATTTTTGAAGAAATCTCTATTCAAACGGACATAAATTCAAGTTTTCCTATAGAAAAACCAATTCAGCCGGGCTGAATTAACGGTTTCGAACGGAAAAACCAATTCAGCTAAGCTGAAATTATATTTTCGTAAGGAAAATCCAATTCAGCCGGGCTGAATTAATAATAAGTTTTCCTATAGAAAAACCAATTCAGCCGGGACGATTTGAATTTTTCGTACGGAAAACCCAATTCAGCCGGGCTGAATTAATGGTTTCGAACGGAAAACCCAATTCAGCTGGGCTGAAATTATATTTTCGTAAGGAAAATCCAATTCAGCCGGGCTGAATTAATATTTTCGTAAGGAAAATCCTATTCAGCCGTGCTGAATTAATATTTTCGTACGGAAAATCTAATTCATCCGAGCTGAATTAATGTTTTCGAACGGGAAACCCAATTCAGCCAGGCTGAATTCATGTTTTTGTATGCAAAATGCAATTCAGCCAGGCTGAATTCAATTTTTCCTTTGGAAAACTAAATGCATCTGGATTTAATAAAAGTTTTTGTAAAGAAGAGCTGAATCATCTTTGACGAATTCTCGGAAATTGAAGTTTTTTTATAATCTAAACAATCTTTTGTTTGCTTATATCAGATTCCCCTACCCTCTTATCAATAAAAACTGTTATTGATAATAATTTGCAAATATTGTTCATGAACAACAAGTGTGCAGCAGTTTAAACGATTATCAGAAAAAAATATTTGAGTATACAAAATGCGCTTGTTTACTCTATAATATGCAAACTTAACAAAACAAATGACGGAACCACAATGATGAGAGTGTTGAAAATTTTAATGAAAAGTGCGGGCAGCTAATTATTTTTATTATTTTATTTATTCTTTCCCCTTTTATTTATTTGTTTATATTAGCTCTTCATAAACAATGAATGGCACAAAAGTAAATCGGGCAAGACATTCGAAACAATCAATCCCTCCACTGAGAAGAGCATTGCTGAGATACAATGTGCCGGCAAGGAAGATGTCAATTTGGCCGTTCAAGCAGCCCGTAATGCATTTAAGTAAGTTTGTCCACAAACCATAATGAAGTCAATATTTTAATCGATGTGTTTACCTTTCAGATTGGGCTCACCCTGGCGCCGCATGGATGCCTCACAACGTGGTGTGCTAATCAATCGTTTGGCTGATCTATTGGAACGTGATATTGTCTATTTGGCCGTAAGTCTTTTTAAAGATATTTTTCTTTAGAATTAGTTTTAAATTAATTTCCTTCTATTCTTAGAGTTTGGAAACTCTGGATAATGGCAAACCCTTTGCCATGTCCTACAACGTCGACTTGCCAATGGCAATTAAAAATCTACGTTACTTTGCTGGTTGGGCGGATAAAAACCATGGCAAAACCATACCCATGGACGGTGATTTCTTCGCCTACACCCGTCACGAACCTGTTGGTGTTTGCGCTCAAATCATCCCCTGGAATTTCCCCATCTTAATGATGGCCTGGAAATTAGGTCCCGCTTTGGCTACCGGCAACACCATTGTCCTGAAACCAGCCGAACAAACCAGTTTGACAGCTCTTTATATTGCCCAATTGGTGAAAGAGGCTGGTTTCCCGGAGGGTGTTGTTAATGTTTTGCCTGGTTTTGGTGATACCGGTGCCGCTTTGGCCAATCACACCGATGTCGATAAGGTGGCCTTTACCGGCTCCACTGAGGTGGGTAAATTGATCCAACAAGCCTCGGGTAATACCAATTTGAAACGTGTCACCTTGGAATTGGGTGGCAAGAGTCCCAACATTGTTTTGGCTGACTCCGATATGAGTTATGCTGTGGAGACCTCCCATTTCGGATTATTCTTTAACATGGGTCAATGTTGTTGTGCTGGTTCACGTACCTTTGTTGAGGATAAAATCTATGATGAATTTGTCGAACGCAGTGCTGAACGTGCCAAGAAACGTACCGTGGGCAATCCCTTCGATTTGAATGTTGAACAGGGACCCCAAGTCAATGAGGAACAAATGCAAAAGATTTTGGGTCTCATTGATACGGGCAAAAAACAAGGTGCCAAATTGGTTGCTGGTGGTAATCGTCCCCAAGGTTTGCCCGGCTACTTTGTTGAGCCCACTGTCTTTGCAGATGTCAAGGATGATATGACCATTGCCCGTGAAGAAATCTTTGGCCCCGTTCAACAAATTATCCGTTTCAAGAAACTCGATGAAGTTATTGAGAGAGCCAATAACTCGGATTATGGTTTGGCAGCTGCTGTCTTCACCAAGGACATTGATAAGGCTAACTATATTGTGCAAGGTCTACGTGCTGGCACAGTTTGGGTCAATACCTACAATGCCTTGTGTGCCCAGGTGCCTTTCGGTGGCTATAAAATGTCTGGCCATGGTCGTGAAAATGGTGAATATGCTCTGCAAAACTACACTGAAGTTAAGAGTGTTATTGTTAAGTTGGCCCAAAAGAATTCATAAGAAGTTTATTATCTCAACAACATAATTTGTAAAGTATATACATACATATTTTTTGTAATAATATAAAAAAGAAGATAATTGTTTGTTAGTAGGTATGTTTGAAGAAAGAAATATAAAGTTTTTTACACATTAATCCACATTGAGTTTTCGAAAAGTACCCCCCGTACCCAGGTCAGCATCAAATTTAAAAGCTTCACCCAATCGTAAATGTTCATCGGTACCATAATTGGCGTTCTCTTTGAAATATTGCCGATATTCATCCCAAACCTTGGCATATTCTCGACACAATTCTTCTAAACAACCATTTTTACCACCATAATCCGTTGGCATATATTCCAGAGGTATGTGTTTTGACCACTCCGAGCCACATAATATAAACTAAAACAAATAGAAATGTAATGAAAAAAATTTTACAGTATTATTTTCAATTTACTTACCCTTTTTCGAAATTTCTCCGACATATGTGGCAGCAAGAGATTCAAAAATTGTTGGGCATATTTGGAAAGATTTATAAAACAAAAAGTTTTTACTCGAACCGGAAATGCTTTCTCATAATAAATTGCATTCTGTTTGGCCATATTTATGGTAAACGGTAGCAAATGACTAGCTGTGGCTTCGGCAAAATCTATAACAAGTATTACACCGTATATGCAGGCATAGGGATCATTCATTAGCATCATTTCCACACTACCATCACAATATTGAAAGAAGTGTTGGGGTGCAAATACTGTTGGATCTGCTTTAAAACGTGACATGATAATGCGTGGACCATGACCATTTAGAGGTGATGGCAAGGGAATGAAGAAGCTGGAAAATAAAGTAAGTACCTTAGTGGCTCTCGAAGTGTAAATTTTTAAAGAATATTTTTTCAATAATTAATGGCTCCCTATGCGTAGATTTTTAAAGAATTTTTTTTTTCAATAATTAATGGCTCCCTAAGTGTGGATTTTTTAAGGATGTTTTTACCACAATTAATAGCTCCCTGAGCGTGGATTTTCAAATTATGTTTTTGCAGAATTAATAGTTCCCTAAGCGTGGATTTTCAAAGAATATTTTTACCAGAATTAATGGCACTTATGGCATGGATTCTAGGCCTGCATTTTTACAAAGACCAACGTGTCTAATTTTCGTCTTTGAAAAATGTTCTCCTACTTCTTTCCTTTCTTTTTTTCAAAGTTGATATCCATTTTAATATTTGCACTTTGACTTACCCAGTATTGTGTAATTTCCGAAATAGCGGATCATCCACATCGGTCATATTAAAATATTCCGGATATTTTGTTTTCATCGAATAGAATATGTCAATTTTCTTTTTCGCCTTTTCCAGACTATATTTGCAGCCACGAAGAAATTGCACCAAAAACTGATCATTCATGCGAGCCTTCAAATGTGGCTGCTGTTTAATCCATTGCTTGAAGGCGAATAAATCTTCTGGTATCCTTTCGGGAACTTCTCCCAATTCGTTAATGGCAACTTTTTGTAATTCCTCTGGAAGAGGTTTTATTTCACACTTGTTTTGTGGCTCCATGTTTAAATGCAACTGAATCGATATACGAAATAATTATGATAGCGATGTTTAGTAATTAGTTCTATCGATTTGAGTGGTATATTTTTTAATTACTATTTTAATTATTCAATAAAATCAAGTATGAAATAATTGTGTTAATTGGTATTTTAATGGAAAATATAGGCGAATGAATGCCTATTGGAGTTCGGTCAAATTATGTTACATGTCATATATTAAGGTTATGTTGGAATACAAAATAATTTATGTTTTTTTAAATATGAAATCTCTAGTGTTTAGAACATCTTTTTGGTCCCGTAGTTAGAAAACCGGTATTTATTATTTAAAAGAGAAAAATCGTAATCGAATAATGGAATATTCTTGCTGGTTGTAGAACAGAACAATTGTAATTATCCTGATTGAACTAGTTTAATATATCAAAGTTTTAGATAATGTTGTTTTCATCTAAACAATCGCTAATTAATATTTCTATTTGGTAAATGAACCTTTATAATTATTTGTTTTGAATTACTAATGTTCTGATCAGGCAAAACAATTTTGTATTATATAATTGGGATTGAGGCTAACTAAATTATGAACAGTCGTTCAAAATATTAAACCACAAAAACCCTTTACAATTTTTAAAAAGTTTGTTTAGGCAATTTTTATAAAAAAAAAATACCTGCATATTTTTTTATAAAAATGACCAAAAATTGGAAGCAATGGAATTCAAAGGACTCTTCGTTTTTTTATTTTTTTCTGATTCTTAAAAGTTGTACTTTAACGTTTGTTTTGTTTACAATGGGTTAATAAGTTAAATTACTTATTAACAAAACAAACACTTATAAACATGTGCTAATTTTTAATTGCTAATTGGGCGTTAATGCTAAATACAACTTATGTTTGAATTAGACAAGCTCGTCTGGTTAATGATAAATGTTTGAACATTTATAAGATGATGGGCACATTCAACTTGTAAATCTTTTTGTAATAACTAGAAAAAAATTCCCCTATCATTCATAAATTCTATTTTTGAGGTCTTGAATCGACGCTGGGTTATTGGCGTAGAAGGAAGATCTCAGACGTTGTGAAGTCATAGGATGTCGATGACCAATTTTGATCCACTCTTGGTGAGATTTTTTCCGTTTCGTAGTTGTCCATTAGTTGTATTTTTACAAGTTCCCTCGATATTGTGGGGTTCCATTGTCCAGGACCTAAGTTGTATACCCGTTGCACTAACAGTTTAGGATGATACTAAAATTTTTGAAAAAAATCTGGAACAATTAAACTATTAAGTCGGACGGGGCCGACTATATGATACCCTTCACCACTTTGGATACATTCAAGAGATGCTAACATGTACAATATCCTGTAGATAGAACAGACATATAATCTTTAGAGCACCATTGAAATGGAATCGGGCGAAGCTAAGATATTTGAACCCCAAAAATAGGATGAAATTATATATGGGAGCTATATATAAATCTGAAGCGAATTTCAAAAAAATCGTATACTTCAATATGGACCTAATTTAGTACACTGTAGAAAATTTTGTTTCATTCGGACAAACATTGAGTGTTTGGTGCACCATTTAGGTAAAATCAATTCAATGCTCTGTGCAAAATTTTGTCTCAATCGGACCAACATTGAGAGTTTGGTGCACAATTTACATAAATCCGGACGAAACTGATATGGGAGCTGTATCTAAATCTGAACCGATTTTCTCGAATTTCAATAGGGTTCGTCCTTGGGCCAAATAAGTGACATGTACCAAATTTCATTCAAATCGGTTCATAAATGCGACCTGTACTTTGTTCACAAAAATACATGGACGGACGGACGGTTGGATGAAATTTGGCACAGTTCACTTATTTGGCCCAAGGACGAACCCTATTGAAATTGGGAAAACTCGGTTCAGATTTAGATATAGCTCCCATATATATTTTCGTCCGATTTAAGGTAAATGGTGCACCAATGTCCCTATATATCGTTCGATTTGCACGAAATTTGGCATAACGTACTGAATTGAGCTTAGAGTGATGTCTGCCAAGTTTCGTGAAAATCGGTCCAGATTTAGATATAGCTCCCATATATATTTTCGTCCGATTTTATGTAAATGATCCACCAAAGTCCCTAAATATCTTTCGATTTGCACGAAATTTGGCATAACATACTGAATTGAGCTTAGAGTGATGTCTGCCAAGTTTCGTGAAAATCGGTCCAGATTTAGATATAACTCTCATATATAGTTTCGTCCGATTTTATGTAAATGGTGCACCAAAGTCCCTATATATATTTCGATTAGCCCGAAACTTGACATAACGTACTGAATTGAGCCTAGAGTGATGACTACTAAATTTCGTGAAAATCGGTCCAGATTTAGATATAGCTCCCATATATATTTTCGTTCGATTTTATCTAAATGGTGCACCAAAGTCCCTAAATATCTTTCGATTTGCACGAAATTTGGCATAACGTACTGAATTGAGCTTAGAGTGATGTCTGCCAAATTTCGTGAAAATCGGTCCAGATTTAGATATAGCTCCCATATATATTTTCGTCCGATTTTATGTAAATGGTGCACCAAAGTCCCTAAATATCTTTCGATTTGCACGAAATTTGGCATAACGTACTGAATTGAGCTTAGAGTGATGTCTGCCAAGTTTCGTGAAAATCGGTCCAGATTTAGATATAGCTCCCATGTATAGTTTCGTCCGATTTTATGTAAATGGTGCACCAAAGTCCCTATATATCTTTCGATTTGCACAAAATTTGGCATAACATACTGAATTGAGCCTAGAGTGATGTCTGCCAAGTTTCGTGAAAATCGGTCCAGATTTAGATATAGTTTCGTCCGATTTTCACATTTCGATAAATATCACATATTTTAGTTCATCCAATTTCATGTTAATTGTTCTGTTTAATATACCTATAGTGGTGAAGGGTATAATATAGTCGGCCCCGTCCGACTTTACTACTTTCCTTACTGGTTTTTTGTTGGTGCTAAACGACTTTAAAACGTGCTAAATCTAGTACTAAAAGTGCTAAATTGGCAACATTGATTGTAATTGTGGATCAAACCACTATTTTATAAGGTCCAATGACCTCTGTGTACCATAAACCGTACCAAACAGTCACATGGGGAGAATGGTCGGATTTCTCAAAAGTACCACATGGGTTATGGGAGTCCGCATACAGCCATTTTGCTTGTTGGTAAAAATGAGCTTTGGAAGTCGTGACGGTTTTTCGAAGGAAATACATATAATTTTCCAGCAGGACCAAATCCGCAATGACACGACGTTGTTGATGCTCGGTGTCTTATGACGAATGAGAACAGAATCTAAACTTTACGTATCGTACAAAATTTAACAATAATTGACTAAATAATCGTCAACATTTATAGAAATCGTTGAAATGGCTACACTGGTGTATCATGAACAGTATGCGCCTAAAAGTATGCTTTAATGTTCAGTCGTGCAAGAAAAAACATAAAACGTACTACACATTTGATATCTAAATCAAGGAATGGACACCATAGTATGTAGATATATTAATTATACCCTCCACCACAAGGTACAACACCTCGAAATATTTAACTGAGACCCCATTATATTCTTGATCGAAATTCTATGTCGAATTATGTATGTCCGTCTTTCTGTTGAAACGACGTTAGAGCTGTATTTATCTTGTTTATTATTCTAATAATTCTATATATAAAAATATATAACAATTTATTTTTTACTATTTTAAATTTCTAATCCACCATCAATTTTCGAAATGATCCTTCAATTCCAAATAGCTGTGTATAATCGGTAGATTTTGATTCCCGCAAACTTTCATCGACACCATATTTTTTGTTTTCAATAAAATATTCACGATTTTCCTGAAAGACTTCCCATTGCAGTTTATTGATTTCATCAAAGGAACTATTTTCACCACCCAGATCGCGGGGTAGATATTTCAGGGGTATATGTTCGTAAAGAGATTCCAAATTACTGCCGTGGATAAAGAGCTGCAAAGGGAAAGATAAACAATTAGATTTGAGCTTCAAGGAGGTACTGTGATAATAAAGAATTTAGAAAGCACGAAACATTTTTGGAAGACCCCCATTAAAGAATATGTATTTCTTCGCAATGTATTTATAAGGATCTGGGGATTTTTTCGGGATTTAAAAACTTTTAGCTGCATCTTTTCAACCAATGTCATGACAATTTTTGGAATTCGGGATTATTGAAGGTTGAAGAACATCTCTGCAGAATATTTTCAATATAGGTCTGTAAAGTATGGGTATGATGAACCCGAAGGGGCGGTTAATTGGCAGAACAGCGCCATTTTAGGTAAGGAATGTTTCAATATAGGTCCTTGTCTTGTCCATTTTTTATACACATTAAGTTCTCGGTCCATTTTCGGTATTTTGTAGGACTTGGACTCATTCTCCCACCGAAGTGGCGAATTCTGGGCTCTTGCTGCATTATACATGAATCCTGACCGAATTTAGGTATTTTGAATGTCCACCTCATGGTGGAGGGTATGAAAAGTTTGCTCCGACTGAACGTAACCACATCTTATAATATTTATTTATAGAATTTTAACTCACCCTCTGCTGTTGCTTCACTGGCATCAGCGATTTTATCATATTCAGTAGTCTGTCAACTGTGGGCGAGGTATTAATTATATGAATAGCCCTCTGTCGCAGATGTAGGGCATCCTCAGCAAATATAAATATTTTCCTAACAATATTTGGTGTCAATTGCAGAATATGCGAAGCCGTATAGCTGGACATATCCAAAATCTGAATATAGCCATTTACCACACAATAATCATCAAAACGCATATTTAACTCCTGGAATGAATTCGCAATGGCCATAACATCGGTAAAGGTATATTTATCGGTGGGATAATTACCCGGGCGGAAATATTGAATGCGGGGACCATTCTCATTTAAGGGTGTGGGTAAATGTAAACCAATGCTATAAGAAAATAAACAAATATATTTATATAAATATTTCATTTAAATATTGTTGGACCTACCCCATTTTATAGAGTTCAATAACTCGCGGATCATCTATATTTTGTATTGTATAAAATTCGGGGTATTTGCTTTTCAGAGTATAATATTTATCTAGTTTATTTTTGGCCTTTTCCAAACTATATTTACAACCACGCAGGAAGCTTATGAGAAATTGATCATCTGTACGGGCTTTCAGGTGCCGCTGTCGTTCAATCCATTGACGAAAATCTCGTAAATCTTGATCAATTCTTTCTGGCACTTCGTTAAGTTCTTCGCAGGCAATTTTTTGCAGCGCCTCTGGTAGGGGTCGTATATTTGACATGTTTACCAAGTTTTTATTATTTTTTATTCGAATGCGGAACTGTGGAGCAGGTTTTCTGTAGCTGTAAACAAATGTAATAGTGAAATTAAATATTAGATAATTCTGACATAGTAAATGTCCATAGACTTCGTAATGATGTGTCAAGATTAGATAAGAAAATAGTTTTCTTTTCTTTTTTGATTTGTTTATTAAAAAATAATGACTCGGTGGACTGAGACAGTGTTTCAAAACAATTGAGGTGTTATTTATTGATTTTTGATGAATCATTTATTTAAGTCTCTTGAAGATCTCTTTCCAAGAACATCTTGAATGTCACTTCACATTTTCCATTAAATTCAAGGTAGGGTTTAAAGCATGCTGTCATAAATTTTGTAACTGTTATGTTATAGATGTATTTTTACAATTAAATTTAATTGTTTAGGTACTTAATGAATAGTAGACCACCTTTGAGTTCGGACCAGTGTTGAGTCCGTTTGAAGCCCTTCTGGAGGTTCTCAGATTTGTCCAACCGCGTTCGCTGCAAAGGAAATGCAGATATTTTTGTTTTCTATTTTACAACAAATTCCAGAATCCATTTCAATATTTTGACTTATTTTAGTTCAGTATATGCGTATGTAAAGGGGAGATCAGTGGTAAATTTCGTGCAAATCGAAGGATATATGGGACCTTGGTGTACCATTTACCTAAAATCGGACAAACATATATATGGGAGCTATATGTAAATCTGCGAAACTATATACCGGAGCTATATCTTAATCTGAACCGTTTTTTTCAATTTCTATAAGGTTTGTCTATATATTGAGGGTACCTTAGCTAAGAAGATATGCATTGACATTGAAGGAGCCTTCAACAATGTCAGAACTAATACGCTTTTACAATCCTTAGATAATTCTCAAGTTGACCGGGCAATCATAGACAATCATTCATTACATAACAATCAGAGACAACGTAGGTCACCGCTCCTGTGGGTAACTACCATAACCGATGAAGGATTTGAACCAGTCTATTATACAGATCGCCTACAAAAATAAGTCAGTATGAAGAGCCCATCTTCCAAAACAAAACGATAGCCATATAAAACAAAGTTAAGAATCTGAGAGTAATTGTAGAAAAGAAACATAAATGGAAAGACAATATACAGCAAATGACTGACAAGGCCCATTGATGCTGGTCTTTCTGTAGAAGAGCCGTAAGCTCTAAATGGGGTTTCAATCCGAAGATGATGCACTGGATCAATTCTAACAGATGCCGCCTGGTAAATGTTGCTCTCGACTAGGAGGAAAATCTGGACTGGGACTTTTTATCGAAGAATCGGGTAGCGAAATCTCTTCGTCTTACAGATTACAGCACGATCCTACAGGCGGAGTTTCAAGCTATAACCAGTGTTCGCAAAAAAACGGTACACTATCGTAGTGTACCGTACCAGGAACACAAACACTAAAAAAATTTTAGCGTTAGTGTTCCGGTACACAAACATTAAAAAATATTTTAGTGTTACTGTTCCGGAGCACAACGAAATTCGTAGTGTACCGTTGTCGGAGCACTAAAAATCGTAGTGTACCGCGGTCGGAGCACTAAAAATCGTAGTGTACCGCGGTCGGAACACTAAAAAATCGTAGTGTACCGCGGTCGGAACACTAAAAAATTGTAGCGTACCGCGGTCGGAACACTAAAAATCGTAGTGTTCCATTTGGCGGAACACTAAAAATCGTAGTGATCCACTTGGCGGAACACTTAAAATTATAGTGTTCCATTTGTCGGAAAACAAAATGATGCATTTATCTTTTATTTTTGTATGAATAAAATTTATATTTTTATTGCTTTTCAATATATTTAATAAATACAATATCTTTTTATACCCTACACAACTATGTTGTCAGGGTATTATAGCTTTGTGCAGCCCCAAAAGTTTGTAACGCCGCGAAATATTGGTCCTAGACCCACCTTTAAGTATACCGATCGTCATATCTCGACTAGCTGAGTCGATCTAGACATGTGTGTCCGTCCGTCCGTCTGTCCATTATAATTTGTAAACACGATACAGGCCACAGTTATGGACCAATCTTCACGAAATTTTGCACGTAGGTTGGGTTCTAGCCAATGAAGACCCCTATTGTTTTTGGGAAAGATCGGTTAATATTTAGGGGATGAAATGGACCAAATACTAAATTTTTGTCGGTTTTTTTGGTCGCTCCACAGGCCGCAATAATGACCCGAACATCGTGAAATTTTGCATGGAGAAGGGGGTCGGGCCAAAGAATAAGCATGCCTGTTTTGATAAAGATCGGTCAATATTTAGCGGGTCAAATGGACCCTGACTTTTGTGTGAAAAATGACAAAATTTGAATTCTATAGCGTATATATTTACCCCTGAAGGACATAGACCCGAAAAATTGATATTATATCCAAGAGGAGTGGTTGACCTTTAAATTAAGACCAATTATATTGTCGCATGTGCTCTGATGTGGGAGTTACACCTAAATATTTACAGGTATCTCCGTATTTGTATGTTATTTAGTAACCCATTATCACTCTAGAGAGCCGAACATAGCGCTGATCGCTTTGAAATGTTTCATGAGGTTCCAGTTATGGTCAAGGACAACGCCTTTAATTTTCGGTGATGATCAGATAATAATTTTGGAATGAAGTGGACCGAAAACTTAATTTTTTTGTGTTATTTTCGAGTCGATCTACAACAACACAACCCACGGTGAAGGGAATCTGGACAATAACTGTACTGAATACTCGTAATATTCGGAAAATATGTCAGTGTGTGGAAGAGGTGCTGTTTACCTCTAATCGGGCAAGAGTGTGCAAATATCACGAAATATTGCCCAGGCTCGGAATACACATCCGTAGAAAATTTGAGTTCAGTGGTAGTTGTGTAGGGTATCGTATGGTCGGCCCCGTCCGACTATACTGCTCCGCTCACTGGTTATATTTGTATTTGTTTATATTTTATTAAAAAATAGTAATATTATATTAACATCAACAGTTTAACATAATAAATATTTTGTAACAAAAAAGGGCGTCTAGTGACGGCCAACTCATAACTGAAAATTCCATTGAATTGCATGTTGGGTTATAATCGATTGCGCTGATCGGAAATATGAAATTCGGTTTTTATATGGTACCTGTATGTGGTCTTGAAATATTTATCCCAAAATCATAAAACTACTTTTTTCATATCCGCGTAACTTGTACACTTCTTTTCATGAACAAGCAGGTAATAATTATGTTGATTGTGTGCCAATCACCAAATTTTGAATATTTTTGCTAAAATTTCCTAAAAGTAAGAATCATAGATGCAGGTATAATTTTTTTAAGAAAAAAATTTCATACTAACATTTTACAAGGAGATCTCCTAATTTTATGGGAAAAGTCGTGTTCGTTCTGTAAATTAATGAAAATTTTATCCAAAGCTGTATAATTTTGTGACAAAAACTGGCCAAAATACCTACATTTTGTAATTGCAAATAAAGTTATAATAATTTTTATTTTTTTTATTATTTGATCTCATTTTACCTCAAAAACAAAACAGACGTGTATGGTACACTACCAGTACAGTTAAAGTAAGTGGAACGCTACGATTTGTATTGTTCCGACCAGTGGAACAACACGATTATTAGTGTTCCGACCAGTGGAACACTAACATTTTTAGTGTTCCGACCAGTGGTACACTAAAAATTTTAGTGTTCCGACCAGTGGAACACAACGATTTTTAATGTACCGCAGTCGGTACACTACGATTTTTTAGTGTACCACTGCCGGTACACTACGATTTTTAGTGTACCGCTGTCGGTACACTACGATTTTTTAGTGTACCGCAGTTGGTACGCTACGATTTTTGTTGTGCTCCGGAACAGTAACACTAAAAATATTTTTAGTGTTTGTGTACCGGTACAGTACGTTATTTTAGTGTACCTATCCACCTTGGTACTGGTTAAGTTCAAACCAAGGACAAAATACAATAAAAACCAGTAAGGAAAGTAGTAAAGTCGGACGGGACCGACTATATGATACCCTTCACCACTTTGGATATATTCAACAGATGGAAGGCTAACAGACGTCGCATTTTTGAAGGACCAATAATATGAAATTAAACAGGTCTTTTTGCAACCTACAAATTTTGGTCAGACATAGAGTTGCTTCTTGCAGACTTAATTCATTACGATGTGCCAAATTTCGTGCAAATCGAAAGATATATAGAGACTTTGGTGCACATTTTATATTAAATCGGACGAAAATATATATGGGAGGTATATCCAAATTTGAACTGATTTTTATGAAATTTTACACACTTCATTCTAGACCTAATTTATTATGCTGTGCCAAATTTCGTGCAAATCGAAAGATATATAAGGACTTTGATGCACCATCTATATAAAATCAGACGAAAATATATATGGGAGCTATATCTAAATCTGAACCGATTTTTCCCAATTTCAATAGGGTTCGTCCTTGGGCCGAATAAGTGACCTATGCCAAATTTCATACAAATTTACAATTTAACATGCACAGACAGACAGACGGACGGATATGCATAAATCGACTTAGAAAGTGATTCTATACATATTCTCAAATGGAACCATGTGTCTATCTCGTTTCCTTTTGTCTGTTACAAACATATGCACAAATACATAATACCCTGTACCACAGTGAGGTGAAGGTTATAATTATTACGGATAGCAAACAACCTATAATATCAGTTAAAACAACCCGACAGTTAAAACCAAAACTGTACTGAATGTATAAATACCATTAATGGTTTCTCACAACAAGGACATGTACGAATTATATGGGTACCGAGTCACCAAGGAATCATAGGCAACGAGCAAATCAACTAGCTAGAAGTGCTACTGCACTACCCACAATATATGTGAATACTGCCAAACCCTTTAGGGTAACACGCCAAGAAATGAGGAAATGGGCGAATGAGACCCGGTTATTCTGACGGGACATTTCAGCCTGAAGGCACATCTACTCAAGATTTGATGCGA